TTCACACTTTGCCCCAATGCTACCGCACTATTTTTGTTCTCTTTATAATAAGTTTTATACTGAGGTGCTATCAGTACATAAAATTCTCTTCCTGGCCAGTAGAGGAAGTAAATGGCTTCAAAGGAATTTGGAATTCTTGGGATGAAATTCTGCCCCCATTGAAATCAATGGCAAAACTCCTGCTTGTTTCAGTAAGGCCAGGATTATACCTTGGTCTTAACAGGCCCAGATTCTAGAGTGAGGCCTAGTTGGCAAAGGGAGACTTGGACTTTATTAAGAGCATCTTGGTAGGGGCTATTCAGCAGAAAGGAATTGATCTTAGCATCTAAGCTCTTTGCAGTTCTGATAGGGTGGTGAAAGAGGGAAAGAAGAATGGAATTGAAGATAAAAAGGGAAAAGAGACAGTAGAGGGGGTCTTCCCAGGGGGTGATGGCAGAGGAGATGAGAGGGAAGCATTTTCCCAATGAGGGTACGAGTGGGAAGGTGGCAGCCACATTACTTTTACCTTTCAAATGCTTCCAGATTGCATCATTTTTTTCAGACATCTTTGGGGGAGGATGATTCTTGGAACCCTGTTGACATGGCCTCCACTAAATCTAGTTCTTCCCTTTACCTCTATGTTCCCTGCCCACTGTCATTCTGAATGAGTTGTGGTGTAACACCTCTGCCTTCAGCTCCTAAAGCCCACTAGGGAGTAAATAGCCTCTCCCCCACCCCCGACACCACAGGAGTCCACACTTCCAAATTTCCTACTGTAACACTGCCCCCCTATCTCCACCTCTGAGCCCCAGGTTCAGCCATGCGGCTCTTCACCCCTGAAAGTGCAGCTCGCAAATCTTCCCCACGGCTCACAAAGCTGCCCCATGCAGCCCTACAAACAGCCCTTCTGGCTGGTGGGGAGCTCTTCCTTTTTTTTTCTTATTTTGCTCAATAATTCTGGTGCAGCCCTTCGCATTTTTTCTGCCGCTATTTCAGCTCTCTTCGTTTAGTGGGTTGGCCATGCCTGCCGTAGTGGGTATAGAGAGGCATCCAGCCAATCCAGAGGTGAGGATGCCCAATTCTAAAGTTCCCAGCTTGGACTAACTAGCATTCTGGGCCACAGCGAACTCCAAGGTGACGCCTGGCTCAACAAGCAGAGCCCATGTTACTACAGCGACTCCCCTGTGAACAGCCAGATGTTAAACCCCAGCTGCTCTATGACAAAAACGGTGTTATCGCCTTAGTTAAACATGGTAGTTGTGGCTACTATTAATACTGAAGTTGGGGGTTGTTTAAGCTTTATACTACGACTTCAGCTGGGTTGAGGGGATATGGTTACCACATGGCTGTTCCCTACCCTGCTTCAAACTAAGGCTGTTAACTGGGTCAGGGACACTGATGGGCACCATTTGCAGAGCCAACTGGCACTATCTGGCACCCCAGCTGCCTTACCTAGCTGGGAACTGTAACAAGGATGGGGTCTTTGTCTGAGAACTATGGCATCCAAAGCATGCATATTGTGTTCCCACTCATGCCTTTCTTCTCCACCAAAGTCACTCTCCTTGTCCTCGGGTCTCCTCCCATTGCTTTGTGCAGGTCTTTTACCAAGATGGACCCTAGTCCAGGGATATTCTCCTTATTCCAGTACACCAAATCACAACCCTGACTTCATTCAAGTCCAGATTATGTTCCATTCCTTTTGAGAGCCCACAAGTTGTGAGGCTTTTGATTAAAATAAGCAAACAAAAGACCACTAAGTTCTCCCCAACACCTGGATTCTCCAGTGCATCGAGGGTGGGGGATATCTTTTAGGTTGCAAGCCATTTGGGTTGGGAACTGTCTTTTCCCCACCCCCGCCCATGCGAAGGACCTTCTCTGCCTAAACAAGAGTGGTATAATGTGGCTCATAATATGAAACAATGACAATGATGCTAAGAATGAGAAGTAGGAGAGTTGTTTGCATGGTCCCAACAGGACCTTTGTAAGTGTACTGCACTTCCAGTATGAGAAGAATAGAATGTAGAAGGAGACCACAAGACGTAAGACAGACCCACTCCTGAATTCATACAGTAAGGGCAGTGCAGAGGGTTAGGTCAAAAAGTCAGCAAGAAAAAGTGGAGGATGGTGCAAATGGTTCTTAAAGACACCACATTCCCAGGACAGCAAGAGGAGAGTCAGGCAAAGAACACTCTATACAAGCACCATCCCCACTCCCTGTTCATCTGAGTGACCCCTTTTCTCTTTTCCACTCTCTGTCCTCAAAGTTCCAAGACACAAGATGCCAGCCTCTCCCAGAGCACATACTCATTTGCATTTTCACCAGCCTTGATTAATGCAAGTGACTGTTTATAGAGTTACAATCTCCAAATTAGGTTGCTGAAGGCATCCCAGGCCAGTCCTGGAAAAATCTCCCTGGCTGAAAGGAGCCATAACTAAGCCTTAAGCAGACGTCTTTATTCAGCTGTAATTGACGTTTAACAGACATCTGTAACTTCGTCTGGACTTTAAAAAAAAACAGTTTTCCCCCTTTCTTTATGTTCCCCCCTTTTATCCAGCAGTCAAAAGTGTAAGAAACCAACACAGAGGCTCCACTCTGTCACTCTTCAGCAGGGGCCGTGACAATAGTGGGCCTGAAACAAAGAGGCATCCCCACGCTGCACACAGTGGCTGCTTGTACGTCTATTTACCTCCTAGAGTGTTTTATGCTAATCCATTGGCAAGTGGCTACCACTTCTGCATACTGATTTGACTCAACTTCAGTCTGAGCTGGGGCCTGTTGTCTGAAGCCAGGACCATGAAGTGCCCCCCTCCTTGGCTTACTAGAAAAGGACATCTATGTTGTTTGCAGCATCGTCATGAAAGGCAAAGTTCCCCACCCAGCCCCCCTAGAACCACCATTCTGCCTGCATTGAGTCTTTTTTTTTCAGTCACCTTTGGTCAAGTAATGATGGGGTGAAGTGAACAGACTGGCCAGACTAAACAAGGGCTCCCAGTCTGAGATTCCTCCACTGGGAGGGATTCCCACTGAGGCGCAGACAGCTTCCAATGCAAGGAGAAGTGAAAGGAAATCATTACGCACCATTTGGTTCCAGAACTCAGTATATCCATTCATTGAGGTTTGCATGGAGTCCATCCCCCCTGCAAAGGGCTAGCTATAGTCCCCGGAGGGAGGCTATTCCACATTCTGAACTCATACCATGTTGAATCTTAGTGAACAGAGTACAGAAGTAGAGAGATACAGCCACTGTCGCTATAGACACAGGTGACACAGAGTACTGATAGTTACACAGAGAGAGCGGCATATGTAGTAATTCTGTTTCTGGTGACATTTGCAGCTATGATTTGGGAAAACATTATTAAAAATCAAGATGAAATGATTTCCTTGTTTCTTGCTGGCTCATGCTGTATTCTCTCCGCCCTCACACACTATATTTTATTCCAATATCTAACGAATGCATTTCCACTTCAGGCTGCAGTGGAGGAAAGTTACTCTCTTCTTCTGTAGGGACGAAGTTCCCTTCCCCCCTTCAACCTTGTAAATATTCCACATTTCTACACTGTAGGTGACCCTATTCCCAGGAGGATGTTCCAGGACACAAGACACCAACGTCTCTCATAGCCCCCTACATGCACTCATCTCCATTTTCTGTAGCTCATGTTTTCTATAGTAGTTACCTAGGCTATATCTAGACTACAGGCAGGGCCGTAACAAGGGCGAGGCCTGTGAGGCACTTGCCTGGGGCACATAGCCGAGGGGGTGCTGTCTTCGCTCGTGCCATGTCAGCACCCCCACCCACGCTGAGGATGGTCTTGCCTCAGGAGCCAGATTAGCTAGTTACAATTCTGACTGCAGGCTTCTTTCTGAAGAATCTTTTCCGGAAGACATCTTCTGGAAAAACTTCTTCCAAAACAGAGCATCCAAACAGTAAAAACACATCGAAAAAGCGATCTGCTTTTTTCGAAAGATAGCATCCATAGTGAATGGATGCTACCTCACATTTAAGCTGTGATGACTAGGGATGGAATGGCCACCAGGGCACCTGTGCTTTTTCCTCTTTCCTCTTCTTTCAAAAGAACTCCCTCTTCCCTGTCCACACACACCTTTTTCTGAAAGAGCTCTTTCCGAAAAAGGCGTCTCCCTCGTAGAAAGAGGTTGACCAATGTCAGAAAAACCCCTCCGTTCTTTCGATTTTTTTTTTAAATCATGCAATTGCAGTGTGGATGTAAGTGAAGTTTTTTTTGGAAAAATGGCCGTTTTTCCGAAAAAACTCTGCAGTGTAGACATACAGGATCCGCACTTATGTCGGATCCGCACTTACGAACGGGGCTTTTCTCGCCCCGGAGCTCACGGGCGGCGGGTTGCCACCCGTGTCCTCCGGGGTGAAAAAAGCTTCTCCCGGTCTCCCTGGTCTGCTGTGGGGGGTCCAGCAAAGCCTCTGGACCCCCCCAGCAGACCAGGGACACCCGAGCAAAGCCACCCAGGCGGCGGGAGTCCCGCTGCCTGCGCCGCCCAGGCGGCAGAGGTCCCGCTGCCTGGGCAGCTTTGCTCCCGGGCAAAGGAGCAAAGCCACCCAGGCGGCGGCTTTGCTCGGGTATCCCTGGTCTGCTGCGGGGGTCCAGCAGCTTTGCTGGACCCCCCCATCAGACATGGGGGACAGGAGCAAAGCCACCCAGGCGGCGGGGGTCCCGCCACCTGGGCGGCTTTGCTCGGGTCTCCCTGGTCTGCTGGGGGGGGGGGAGACCAGGCTTTTGTTGCGGGACGCCTCGGGTAGAGCAGCTGGGGTGCTGCCGGTTTGGTCCTGTGGGAACCTACCAGGCAGCGCCCCAGCTGTTCTGTCCCAGGCTCCAGATTGAGCAGCTGTTGAAACTGATCAGGCTGATTCCAGGAAGCTGGGGGCAGAGCAACTCTGCCTCCGGCTTCCTGTAGTCAGCCCCTGGTCAGTTTCAGTTGCAGCAGCTGAATCTGGAGCCAGTTCCGACTTACATACAAATTCAACTTAAGAACAAACCTATAGTCCCTATCTTGTACATAACCCAGGGACTGCCTGTACCTCTAGCTAAGGATTATATATAGCAAAGTAGAATTTATGGACTAGAACATAAAGGCAAGAACCCCAAAAGTGTTTTTCTCTCCCTATGCTGTAGCGTAGGAGGTATTGTTCCCCATGTCTAACATGAGTCTCGCACTGGTTCTTTAAAGAAGAATGAAGCAAAAACCGTAGCGCCTGTACTCTACACACACAGATAACGCTTCCTCTTCATGTTTTCCTGAATCATCTGTGACCAGCTGTTTTAAACTATTAAGGCAAAGCCAGGCAAAGGCACCGTGGCATGAAGAATAGAGTCAGGCGGAGCCATCTTGGATGCCTGTGTCTTGCCAGATGTTGCACATAGAGCTTCTAGAAACACAATCACCATTGTGAAGGCATAAACGAGAGGATTGGGGAAATAACCCAGCAGGTGATGATCAAATCTAAGTGTAAAGTGTCTTCAAGATCACAAAGAAGCCAAGTAGCTGTTGGGCCAGTTGCTTCACAAGAAGGAAGTCTGGGAACAGGAGAAAATGCAGGCGAGGTACTCTGAGAGATTTCTGGGGAAGAAGAGAGAGTGAAGATGAACTAAGATCCTTTGTGGGTCTGACAAACCCATGAGGGCACTAAAATGGGAGGGAAAGGTTAGAAAACACTTCAGAGATGCTTTCATCCTGCAGAACAGTGGCTACAAAGAGGTTTCCAGTCACCGCATTGTTGGGTGCTGGCACCTCTGCCCTTCATTCCTACTCCTCCACACACTGAGCAACCCCCCTGCTGGGCCCTGGTGTGCTGTCTATTTCCCTTATTAACCAACCAGTCATGCAGCTTGAGCAGATGTAATTACAATGAAGATGCCTGGTGAGCCAGAGCATCCGCAGTGCAGAGGGGAGGAGTCGGTTGTAGTGTGGTAACTGGTCAGTTGCCCACTTGAAGTAACCAAGGGAGATAAAGCCGTCCATCATCTATGAGCTGTCCCTTCAGAGCTTGCCAGAAGCCCATGCCACTGGGCATGATACTGATGCAGCATGTGGATAGTGAGCTCCTTCAGTGTTGTTACGTCTTCTCGCTGACAAATATAATTTCCAATTACCCCTTTTCCTTACCTCGTATGTTTGCAGTCACGCACCCGACTAGAAGCAGACGTGACAAAGTAATGGAAGCATATGCCAGCCCCACACGAGATCCCTGCAAGTAGTGGTGACTTACTCTTATGGACTTGTTATGATCTCCTGGAGATTTGACCAAACTCCTAGAAAGAGAAGATCAGAAAGAGACAAAAATAAGTGACTGAGACAGAGACCGGGCACGCAGAATGCGGTAGGATCATAAGAGAACTATCCCAGGGAAAGAGGACAGTAAAACTGGGACCTGGGCATTTAAAACTGGGACCTGGGCATTGGTGACCAGGAAATCAGGCACAAGCAGTGGCTGCAGCATTTAATCCCTTGAGAAGCTGGTGGCTGTGACAGATCCATTTTTCTGGAAGTTGCTGGGAAACCCAGGGAAGAGCAAAAGGAAGTAGTCTGGCCTTGTCTACATGGGAAGGTATGAATTTAAGCACCTGTACTTATACTGGTATAAGCTCCATGGGACCCTCAGATTCCAGCAGAAGAATTACTTTTTTCAGCTTAGTGTTTGATATTTAGAAAGGAGGTTACATGAAAAGAGACATCATCCCTCCCCCGCCCCAGTCCCAATCCTGGTAGTGCCCAGAGGTCAGTTTGATACCGGATACAATTTAAAGCAGCCTCAGGGTTGCTCTATGTTGTAACTTGCTGCCTGGTTTTTTTTGGCACCAGCCCTTTGACCATGCCCCTTTTGCCACGGCCCACAACTATGCCAACGGCTATGAGTGGAATAGCTCAGGGCCAGTATGTTGCTTCTGTGCCACCTGGGAAATCTTCTAGGCCAGAGTAATGCTCAATATATGAGCTAACCTGACATCTTAGCCCCTTTGGGCAATTGGAGCACCACAAAGGGGCACTGTCATCGCCAGTGATCTGGCCTTCCGTATTTCAAAGCTAAGGCCTGTTTCTTCCCATTTACACATAAATGGGAGATTTCTCTGCTCAGAGTGGCAGCATCTTATACTGTGTTTTGTATCATGTATCATTCTGACAGGGAACACAGATTGCTCCCCAATGCTTTTGCCTCCAGACCACATGACATTACTGCTGCTCTTCAGTGCTGGAGAGAAGCTCCTAGTGGCTACACAAAGAGGGGGAAATGTGGTTCTAATGGGCCCCTTCTAGCACATTACCTGCAATTCTGCTTCCTTCTGCACCTTGCAATGCAGAGCAGTACTGATTGGAAAGGTCCTGTGCCAGGAACTGGCCATCTCCATGCCAGCAAAGTGTCTTTAGTTCACGTGTCTCATGAGATGAATGGCCTGAAATGCTCCAGTGGCTGAGAGAAGAGCAGGAAAAGAGGGTCTTTCCATGGGTGACCAGTCACAGTTTCCA